AAAAGCCTTAAAAAGCCTCCACGGAGCTTCAAGCCAAAGAAGAGAAAAAGAGAAGAAATTCTGTTCTTTCTGCCACAAACCAAACCACTCCAAAGAAAAATGTTGGCACTATCAAAAGCGAAACAACAGCAACAAAGAGTACAAATATGAAAACTTCAGAAGAGGAAACGTACCAAAGTACACAAATCAGCCTCATAATCTAATTGTTGTAAGGTTTAGGTACTTACAGCTTGTAGGAAGGCATGAGGACGTTGAGGATTATATGATAATAATCTTTATTATCCATTTAGCAAGAAAAAGACAAAGTTATGGTAGCGAACAGTTATTGTAATATAGAGAAGAAGGGTAAACAAACAGTTGTGATGATGATAGGTCCAGTGTGGCGCTAGCTGTCGTAGCATTCAGTTATCCAACAAATATGATACATTATCAGGCCATCTTTTATATAAATGTTGAGCTATTTTTAAAAAAAAGGTTAATTATAATATATATATATTTTTTATAAGCGATATATAGATAAATTAAAAAGTGAATATTATAATTGAGATATATATATATATATATATATAGAAAGAAATTAATGATATATTATAAGCAATATAAAAAGAAATTGAAATTAATATTATAAACGATATTAAAAGAGAAGTACATATTATAAGCAAATTCTATACCTCAGAAATATATCTTTTAAAAATTGATCTTTAAAAACTACCAACCTATAGTAATTTTGTAAATTTATAAAATAATTAAAATTCTCGAATAAAAAATTAAATTTACATTTCTCATCCGTTTATTAATTAAATCTATGTTGAATATATTTTTCTAACATTTACTATTTGAAAAAGTTTTAAATTAATTTTAAAGTGCTTTTCTAAATGGGAACAAAAAAAAAAGAAATAGCTTTTAAATATTTTCTTGTTCTCAAATAATTCTAATAAATTTTTCCTCTTTTTAAAACTGAAAATTTTCTCAAATAGATCATTTGTTCTTTTTATTTAGTTCTTAAACTTCTAAGCTCATAATTAACACAATCATAATTTATTTAATTATATTAATTTAGGCTTTATAGATCGATGTGTTGAAAAGTTTGTGGAATAATTAATTAATACCTAATTAAAATAAATTATATTTTTAATAAAGGATTTTTGGTATTTTAAATCTTTACCAAATAAATGGTGTTCGAGTTTATTTAAAATTTATTTTTCTTAGAACAAAAAAAGGGAAATCCATACGAATATTTTAAATGCAATATTTATATTCTAAAATTTCAGAGAAAATATTATTGAATTATTTCTAATTGTGAACTATTATTTCACATATAAATAAACATCTAAATTTGAAAAATCATGTTTTTTAATTTTATTTTATTTCGACTTAGAGCGCTATGCTCCCCTAGGGACACTTACACTTTAAAGGTAAACTAAAAATTGAAAGAAAATAAAAAGATCATTTAAAATATGACAAGAATTAGTATGCAATTTAGTTAGATGAAATGAGAAAAAATATCAGCACATTTGAAATATGTACAAAGGGTTAGTATGAAATTGTAAAGTAGTGTATTCGAGGAAAACAATTTACAGATTGAAGAAAGTTTTAAGAAATATTTCAAAATATGAAAAAATGGGCAAGATATCAGAGAATTATTCACAATACAAAAAAAAAACTATGTATTTTAAAATAATATTAATAAATTGTTTAACCTCAAAATATGTACATTTAGTACTATAGAATTAATCAGACAGACTACACGAATTGTTGTTTCAAATTTAACTTCTGCACATTTTAAAGTTGCATCTGTTTATATGAAATATTTAGAATACATCTTTTAAATTCATCGTCTGCAAATTTTAATATGATTGTAAAAGGAATCACATTAAGAAAAAAGCTTTTAAAATGGCCTATTCTCTCTTTTTTACATAAGAGAAGTTAAAGGAATGAAATAATCTCTGGCTAATTAGATGGTAAAAATGTAAAAGGAAAGTAAATTAACTAAATTTAGTATAATTTTATTTTCTTTTGACTCTTTTTACATTTTTAAAAATCTCTCATGCAAGGAAGGATCCATTGTCTGATGGGTAAACTTGAGGGATTTCTAATTAAAGCTTTCCACGTTTTTATAAACATTATAAATATTATTGTTTAAATACTAATCCTTTTCAATTTATATATAAGTATTATGTATACGAACCATTTAAAATTCTATTCTCTATAGTTATAAAAATTGAGAATATTATGTGGTGCAATATATTGTGATGCCTATATTGTTTTTCCTTTAATTATAATCGGTTTAATGTAATATATATATACGATTTATGTTATTTTTCTTTTTTAAATATTGCCCTAATTCGTTTGAATTTTCTTTTGTTATTTGTGTATCAAAAGACAAATCGTATCGAATAGACTATTATTTAATTTTTTGATGATTAATTTCTTTTCTTTTAAATTTTAATATCAAGCATATTAAGTATTAAATTGAAATCTTTCGTTGTTGTTTTTTTTTCCTGATAAATTTTATAATATATGATAATATTCAGAAAATATTTTAAAAAGTATTTTTCGTATTATATATATGAATGCATCTTTTGCATATTAATTTTACATAGATATAAAATAAATTATTCATAGACGTTTTCCTTTTTTTTTTATGTATATATACGATTTATCAATACTGATTATATTAGGGAGCTATAGTCAAATAAAGCTAAGCATATCATAAAAGTTAGAATTTCAATATAAGAGTTCTGAGTGATAATAAAACAACAGATCATAAAGATTAGACAAATTACTGTGTGCTGTTAGTATAGAGTGTATTAATTCACAAGATGACATTCTGAAATCTATAGCTACGCATCCCAACAATGAGCATTCTTCAAGAGATAACAATCAGAATCCTTAACGAATTTGTTTTTTTTTTAGTGGAGATAAATCGCTCTTCAACAAGATTTTAATTGTTAAAATGGCACTAATAAAAGTTTAAGAATCCATATAATTTTTTTTTATAGAAGCTCTTTTTACAGTTGAACATTGGTATACACAATTTCATTTAATTTATCAATAAAAATAGAATATATAGAACACAATATCCAACTGTAAATAGATATTATGATGCATTAGCGCGCCATCTGTTATCAAAATTCGAAAATATTATAGACACGTATAATTATTTTTAAAATTAAACAATTTCTACTGCCCTTATTGCTTTGGAAAAATTAATGGGATGCTCTGGCTCCATTAATTATTCCATTGCAGTAAGGGCAGTAGAAATTGTTTATTTTTAAAAAGAATCATAGGCGTCTATAATAGTTTCGAATTTTGTAAATATAGATGTAATAAATGTAGATGTATGATTAAATATATATTATTATGTTTTTAATTCATTATTTCCAACATTTATGTGACCCGCTGTTACCTTTTTCAAGGAAACCAAATCCTTTAATATTTGCTGATGTATGAAGATATTTAAACACGTGTAGAGTTCGTCGATATTACAACCATGTTGAACAGGAAAAACAAAATTAAGTAATTAATAAACGTAAAAAATAAATATTCAAAAGATTATTGTATTATTAAATCATATTTATAATTCTCTAATCTGAAAAAATGTTTGTTTCTATATGTAAATAGGGCTCCTATATAAAAATTACATCAAATTGGATTTTTTTTAGTGATCACTGCCAATTAAAGAGCTCACTATTCTTCAGAAAGCTGGCTTGATATGTTGCTTAATAAAAAGAGATAGGCATTGCTAGCCCTTGTTATAATCTTGGATAAGCTTCTCTAGCAATTCTATCATTTCAAAAAAGGAGTTCTAGCGTTCTTTTTTTGTGAGGTATAGGCCTAAAATACCATTTTAAAATTTATAGAAGAATGGAAGCTTAGTGGTAATAGGCATGCACGACTATATATAGCAAATTAAAACATTAAGATGTGAATGCCTCTTTTACACATCAATCAAACTTTACTACTGTCCTTACTGCGATGAAAAAATGTTTATATAATTCTACTGTTCTAAAAACCTATGTCCATAGTTGCTTAAATACCATTTCTAAGATTCCATCCTTCAGTGTAGCATATATAAGCAGAATGATCCAATACAGTATTAAAGCTCTAAGAGAAGCGGTCTGGTAGGTTAAATTGGTGTAACCGCTGGAAGGGTTTACCACTGAAGAGCCAAGCCATCCCAATATATTTTTAATCGCAGTAAGGGGACAGTAGAAGAGTTTGTTTTCTGTTTAAAAAAATAAACATTCGTGTTTTATAATTCTTCCCCTTTTTAAAAAGAGATAGGCATGGCTATCCCTTGTTAGAATCTTGGATAAGCTCCTCTAGAAATTCTATCATTTCATGATAAGCGTTCTACCATAACCTTTTTGAGAGTAATAAGGTAAAAATACTATTTTGAAATTGATAGAAGAATGGAGGTTCTGTGGTAATATAGACATGCATTACTATATTGAACTCTTTAGTATTTTAAAGATAGAGGCTGTCTGGCCCTTTTTTAACGCCTTGCCAAATGTTTTAATTTTTATTTGCCCCTGACAAGGACAAACGATTATTTGTCGAAACGTCGAGATAATAAAAAGATTTACTGACCAAAGTATCTTTAATTTGAAGGACTCTTTGGTAGTTTATCAAAATAAGCCAATATAGAATGTTGTTGAATATGTTGTTTGAAAGAAATTAGAATATATTTTAATGCAATTAAAATTTAACAAAAATTAATGGGATTCATAGAATCTTATAGAGACACTAGGGGAAATGGTTGAAAGTGTTTCTGCTATACTGAACGCTTACCTTCCCACTGGTTGATTTACAGCATTACTGTTTTAAAAATCTATCTTTTCGGCTTCTTTTGCTTGTTCCAAAATATCTCACGTAATATAGGCTATGATAGTAGAACGACTTTTGAAAATTATCCCGCATGTGTTTCTTTTGAACGAAAAATCGAAATTTATTCTAAGAAGAAATAACGAGTATTTCTAACCTTAGGAATGAGTATGTCCAGGGTAGCCTAGTGGACAGGCACCTGCCCGGTAAGCGGAACACTGTGGGTTCGATTCCCATCCCTGGAAACTTTTATTTTTCCGTTTATCATTACTCTTCACAATTCATCCTTTCATACTTTATCCCTAAGAATAGGAATAGCCGTTATTTCTCCTTAAAATAAATTTCGATTTTCCGTTCAAAAGAAACACATGCGGGATAATTTTCAAATGTCTTTCTACAATTATAAGCCGCATTATATTGTATTATAAATAGGCTATGGCAATCATGATGGATAGTTAGCGATAGCTTTTGTGCTGAGAACATGTAAGAAAACATCTACCTATGTTTCCCCACGTGACGCAGCGGAGCGTGACCTCGGCTGCACGGGTGAGTCAGTTGTTGTTTGGCTCTCTGTATAGATGGACATTAAAACATGGTGGCAGCGATAGCTGGATAAAATACGAACCCGTATATTGCAAAATATCGATTTTTGCGTACCTTGGAAGATAATTCAACATGGCTCAGATTCAACCTCCAGAAACTTTCGACTTCTCGACTCCCAACGAATGGCCCAAATGGAAGAAAAGATTCGAACGATACCTCGTGGTCAGTGGAATGAAGAAGAAAGAGGAGGCGGACAAGATCGATTTGTTCATGTACTTGATGGGTGACCGCGCGGATGATATATTCAGGACCTTCAAGTTCGAAAAGGAAGAAGAGGCAACGAAAATTGATTCCGTCCTCAAGGCGTTCGACAGCCACTTCTGTGTCAGAAAGAATATTATCTACGAACGTGCGAAATTTAATTCAAGAATCCAAGAGGATCGGGAGCCAGTGGACGAATTCATCACTTCATTGTACAAATTGGCTGATAGTTGCGAATTTGAGGGTCTTCATGAGCAGTTGATCCGTGACCGAATAGTGGTTGGAGTGAGGGACAAAGCTTTATCTGAAATTGTGGCTCCACTCAACCAGTTGTTGGTGAAAGGTCAAGACTTCGTTTGGGATTGCAGCCAGGAGCGAGCATTCCGAAAGTTGAAAGAATTGCTCACGACTCAACCCATCTTGGCAGCATACGACGTCAGGAAACCAACTATGGTGTCATCCGACGCATCTTCATACGGCTTGGGAGCGGTACTGAAGCAAGAAGGTAAGAATGGAATCTGGCGACCTGTTGCTTATTCTTCTAGAACTATGACACCTACCGAAAAACGATATGCTCAGATCGAGAAAGAGGCTCTCGCAATTACATGGGCTTGCGAACGTTTTCAAGATTTCCTGCTTGGAAAGCGTTTCCGAATTGAGACCGACCATAAGCCTCTCATTCCTCTATTTTCGACGAAAGAATTGAGTTCGCTGACCCCAAGACTGCAACGTTTCCGAATGCGTATGATGAGGTTTGGATTCGAAATAGTGCATATCCCTGGAAAGGAGCTGCTCGACGCCGATGCATTATCCAGACAACCACTTCTTACAACCGAGGGAGGTGAAAACGAACGGCAAACCTCAGCGCATATAAATGCAGTTCTCTCGAGTATAACCGACAAAGACGAGATGTTGACGAAGATTTTTGAAGCTCAACAAGAAGATACGACCCTGAAAGCAGTAGTCAACTACCTTGAGAAAGGCTGGCCAGATAAGAAGAAAATGTCACAGGCTCTGCTCTCTTATTGGCATGTCAAGGATGAACTCGGCGTTCAAAATGGACTACTGATGCGTAGCTGTCGTCTTGTTATTCCAGCAAGTATGAAACTGGAGATCCTAGATAAGTTGCACGCTGGGCACTTCGGGATTACAAAAACAAGACTTCGCGCACGTGAGACGGTATGGTGGCCTGGAATTTCGGAAGAGATCGCGGAAACGGTCAGAAAGTGCAGTGTCTGTATCCAGGAAGCCGTCTCAAAACATGAACCTTTGATACCAACCAACTTTCCTACACGACCGTGGCAAAAGATTGGAATGGATTTGTTCAAGTTCGAGAATAAGTGGTATCTAGTCGTCATTGACTATTATTCTCGATTTCCTGAAGTGGTTCAGCTGGATCGGCTCACAGCCAATGTGGTGGTGCGTGGTTGCAAATCCATATTTGCCCGACATGGAATACCAGAAACTGTTGTAAGCGATAATGGGACGCAATTTGGAGCTGCTCGTGAATTTGCAAATTTCGCAAGGCAGTACGGATTCACACATGTCACTTCAAGTCCTCGATTCCCGCAGAGCAATGGGATGGCAGAAGCAAGTGTGAAAATTGCTAAGTTGATCCTCAAGAAAAATCAAGACCCATCGCTTGGACTCCTGGAGTATCGATCGACCCCTTTGGAGAACGGTTACAGCCCTGCTGAGCTTCTCATGGGACGTAAACTCCGAACGACCTTGCCAATTGCACCAGAGAATCTTAATCCAAAGTTGGTGGACTCTCAGACCCTGGAAAGCAAGGAGGGGAGAAGGAGAAAGGATATGAAATCCAGATATGATCGACGCTGCGGAGCTACGGACATGGAGGAGCTATCCGAAGGTGACACGGTTTGGATTACAGATATGCGAACCTGGGGGATTGTAAAGAAGAAAGCATCGACACCAAGGTCGTATATGGTTGATACTCCAGTTGGGACTTTACGTCGAAACAGGTTCCATCTACGAAAAGGATATGCAGTGCAATATCCAGCCGACCCATCGACGCCGACCTTTTCGGGGGAGGAACTGGTTGAAAATGAAAAGACCCCAGTTGTGGATTATCCCTCTAACGACTCAGAAGACGGCCAGATAAGAACCCGGAGTGGACGAATTGTTAAACTTGTGGATCGCCTTCATTATTAATTATATTATGCATTTAAAGTTTGTAATGTATATATATATTTCAAGTCTTAAAAAGGGGGATGTGCTGAGAACATGTAAGAAAACATCTACCTATGTTTCCCCACGTGACGCAGCGGAGCGTGACCTCGGCTGCACGGGTGAGTCAGTTGTTGTTTGGCTCTCTGTATAGATGGACATTAAAACAGCTTTTACTGCGAGTTACCACAAGCCTACCTATGTAGAAAGCGTAACGTTCTATAACTATGTTTTTCTTTTCTGATGGGATTTTAATCACACACACACACACACACACAGTTGAACTGGTTCAACATATATCTGATTGATTACCTTCAACATTTCCTCCTTCCATATATATATAATGGGATAGATAGTGGGGCATATCGTTAATTTATAATATATATATTATATAATCTAAAATGCAATTATTTTATTTTTTTTTTAAAACATATATTTTATTTTCATTCATTGACTGTTCTACATTTTTGACCATAGATTTAGGATATACCAATTTGAATATTGTTGTAAATATGTATAGTTGACCTACATATTTTTTTTTTAATTCACGAATATAGAATTCATTATATAAATTCTATATTACTGTGAAAAATAATTTAATGTGTAATTTGCTTCAAGTAATTTAAAATAAAAACTACTTGATGGGTAAATAATTAGATTTCCTTTTTTCACGACTGCATCTTCAATTTTCTATCTTTTTCAACAACAAAACAAAATAATCATAACATATATATAAACACATTTTTTAAAATAAACATGAGCACAAATAAAGATCATTATAAATAGAAAAATAAAAATGTGAAAAAACAAATAGAAAATATATAATGCTATCGAATTGATGGCTCACCAAATTCCAACTAGTTTATTTTCTTTTCAAAGAATTTAGAATAAATTTTGAATCTAAAAATATATAAAACTCTAGTTCCATTTTAAATGGTATACAGAGTAACGGTTCCCCAATCACTTTAATTAAAATTTGAGAAGTTCCTCCTGTTTTATCGATTTTAAGACTTGTTCCTAAAATTTCAACTTTTCTTTTGGCGGGAAAATGAAGTTTGTCGTCTGCTTTTATTTGGAAGCCTTGTTGTGCGCATGCGCAGTAAAATTATTTATTATATACGTATAAAATATGAATTTTATTATTTCGATTTATATAATGTCGAGTCAAACAAATGTGATTTAGGTTTTATATAACTTGCTTTTTGTTTTTTTTTTTTCTCGTTAAAAATTGAACATTTTCAAGCTTTTGCCTATCTTTATATTCAAGTGTTCTTAAATATATTGAAAACATCTTTTAATTATAGAGTAGAGAGTTATATATATATATATCTATATTTGAACTATTTAAATCTATGTGTAGTGTTATACGGATGCAAAATTTACAAGAAGTAAATTATTTTGGAAAAAAAGAAAGACTGCCTCTCCCGTCGTAATAGACGCAAAAGCGATGTGCCATCTATTAAACCTAGAAAACTGGGGTCTGTGATAAAACATCAACACCATCTTTGGCAAATTCAGTAAGCCCACCTGACAACTATGGCTAGACCAAGTCTGCTTGTTTTGCAAAGACGGTCAATAGATGGTGCATAGTTTTTACGTCAATTTTGACGGGAGAGGTAGCTTTACTTTTATTTGTTGTTAAATCTCTCAATTTCTTCCTGACAAAATTTCCATTTATATTTCGTAAATATGATGGACTTCCCACTTTAGCAGCTCTAATCACGGGTTAATTTATCTAACATTTTGTTAATCCTGTGATGATATCGTGAAATGAAATTCCGTCCTGGACTAACATAGCCCGATATCATTGTCTCCTGAATGGACGTTCTGGATTTCTAAAAAATGGTGTTCGGATTTTTCATAGAGTTTTATAGAGTGTAGAGATAGTCAATTGATTTATTATAGTTATTTTGCCTCTATTTTAACCGAAATGGTCGCCTTTTTTACTATAAGTTAGTTCTCTATATATCTTAAACCCATATAATATTAGAAGATGTTGTTCTTGTAGCGTTCTTTTCATTGGAAAATGTTTGCCACGTTAGTCACTTTGGACCCGAATTTGGTCAAATATTCCAAGGGTCCAGGGGAGTGGTCGGACTTCTCCCCTTCCCAATATTAGAAGTCCTATATATATATTTTTTTGAGAAATATTTAACAAAATGTAAAAAGATATATATTCGAAAGCTTCTCAAAGAAAACACATATAATGCTTGTGGCTCTCTCTCTCTTTAAAAAAGGGGGGGTCGGTGGAAGG